CTGCAATTTTTATTGGCTCCGAGCCTAATTTTTGTAGATCCTTAGCCCGGGATTTTCTTGACATAAGGGAATCCGTGGTCGATTTTTTGGAAAAACGATTTATTCGACTCTATCATTCGTATTTGCTTTATAGAACTCCAATTAAAATACATATTGCGGATAATCTTAAGAATATAAAATCGTTACTTTAATCTATTTATTGTTCAAAAACCATACTTAGTCGATTAAGCTGGCTGAGCCAATTTTATAACATCGACTATTACGGATGTTATAAACGGAATTGTGATAAATGCGAGTGTGATTATACAAATTTGTACAATAGGGGGTTTCAAAGTTAAAATCAGAGAATCTCATTTTATTTTTCCGATTTATAATTCAATATAGTAAAAATACTATTGAAAAAATCCTATTTATTTTCGAAATGCGTCACTTATCTTTGAAACCCCCTAATATACACGACTTTCTATTAACGTAAGAAGAAAATTTCAAATTCTATTTATTGGTTTTACAATCATTGATTTATTACCTAGCATTTACAGGGCTAACAAGAATTTTAGTAAAGGGTGGAAAAGATTATTAATTTGTTAGCTACTTATCAATTTTTAGTGTAAATTGATCAAACTTGAACTCGTTTTATTTCGCACATCTATAAAATATTCGTATGTGTTATTATGATCTGTCTAATTATCGATGAAAAAAATTTTTTTTCTAGTTTTTTTTTTAATAATAATAATAATAATAATAATAATAATTAGTTGCATATCGTATAAGGATTGGTTAAATTTAATTAAAAATAATAATAAAGATGTCAACAATTACAATAAATAAATTATTGTCCACTTACACTCATTAAAATATTATATTTTAATCAAAATAGTAGATATTCCGCTTCCTTAAATTTGATACATTAAAATACCTAATAAGATTTATTTTATTATGATTAATGATTCAAGTCGTTTATGTTGCTATCTTTACTGCTTTTATTACTAATCTTTTCTTTGGTCTAATAAATTTCGCGATAGCCGTTGTAATATCTATCTTATTAGGTAAATTAATGTCTAGAGAATATTTTCCCGGTAAATTAAAAAGGAGACGCGTTGATTCTATATCCAACGTTATTGCATTGATTGATTGCTAAAATTAAAAGAGCAATTCATTAAACTTTGTATTCTTGACGAAATATTGACCTTAAAAAAAACAAAAAAAACATCTAACTTACTGAACCCATTAATGGTATTTCAATAGCAATTATAATATAACTTTCATTGTCTTTATGATCCTCGGCAATTATATACTCTGGTTTTTGAATTTGTGCTTTAACAGTTTTAACAGTGCCTGTTGCTGTTTGTGGACAAGTGGGTATTTCGGCTATTAATGATGGTCTTTCTTTCGGAAGTTGAACTAATCTATGTTCTGTTTTGCCTTTATAATGAATCTTTGGAAATGAAAATTCTGAAAATATAAATATGAATTACGTGTTATTTATATACGTTATATTTAACAAACGAAAAGCAATCAAGGTTCCTTTTTGCAATAGATATAACTTACCTCGACTCAACTGTAACTTATGATTATCCTCGATCAATTCCACTGCCAATTCAGTTATATATAGTTTGAAATCTGAATCTTCGATTGTTCTTTTATATGGATCTGAATGTATCATAGCATCACACACGAGACACTCGTTTTGAACTATGTACAGGGAGAATGTTAATAAAATGCATTTGTAAAAAAGTGTGTAGTATTAAACTAGTGATTCTAGACCTTTATCCGTATCCTGTCGCAAGTCACTCAAGACAAGCGGGACATTATACATTGCATCCTCTTCTGCATTCATAGCTTTACGTATTTCGTCTTCACTTACGGTAGGGGGACGAGGAATTACGTCCGAATGACAAATGTTGATCAAAATTTTCATGTTTTGATATTGCTTGCAATTTTTTGTCGTATGAGTTTTTGCCACGAATCCCGGCGTAGGTTTCACTTGGACCATTTTATACTCTGCGTTCGGTGGAGAAAGCTGTTCAGCAAGCGCGGTCATTGCCTGTGGATTTTCTGCCATTTGTGCCGTAAGCTCTTCCATGAAAATTTTCTCTGCTAGTGCCTCAGACGATGTGTCTTTATTCAGAGTGAGCAAAGACGATAAAAGGTCTGAGCCTTTTCCTTCGTCGAAATCTAATTTCTCAAAGGACATAATACTATATAGTAGAGTTAACTTCGTAAAAAGTTAGCGCCAGTGGAAGCTCGCCTATTTCTTAAAAAAGGAATTATCGTAGCTCCATGATTTTCTGCGGTGATAAATAGTCAATTCCGTCCGTGATAAAATAAATTTCTGCGTAATTCTCGTGCATTAAAATTTGCGTTTGTTATAATAGAAATCTCGAATATTCTGCAACCATTATCCAAAAAATTTAGCTTGACCACGCTCGTCTTTTAGGTTCGTTTATTTTCTATGTCGTGACTTTTCGGATGATATAGTTTTGAGATTGTTTACCTATAAATCTTTACATTCCGTGATATTTACGCGCCATATTCCTACTTTCTGTGACAATTCCGTGCTATTTTTGACGCATTCCGTGTTTATCCACCGATTCCGTGATTCTGCGGCGGCCGTGCTGGCGCGAGTAGCACAAACCAAAAAAGGAAATCGAATTTTGTAAATAAAATCAATTAACTTCGATCGAAAGCGTTGAGTAAGTTGTTTAAGGAATTTGCATTATCTTTTAGTTGAAATTGTTAAATACATATATTATAATAGAGATTATAGCTCCACGGCAGACTGTGTTTACTTATTATCAGACGAAAAGTACTCTAAAATAGTGTCTTATAGCAATGTTGATTCACCGAATACAATGGTTACGCCGGAGCTGTTCGCGTCTAAAGCTTTGGAACTATTGTTAAGCGGATAAAAAGATTTAAAGTCAGAGCCGTCTCCTATTGATCTTATTGTAATGAATGTCCCTTTGTAAGCTATATTTGGGGGGAGGCAAATTTTTTTTAAGTAAAATTTTTTTAAACTTTAAAATATCTCAACAATTATCAAACCAAATTTAATAAAAAATTTTTATATTGTTTCTATATAGCTATAGAACCAAAATAAAAAAAAATTTATTAAATTTGATTTGATAATTGTTGAAATATTTTAATTTAAAGGTTTAAAAAAAATTTCCTAAAAACAATTTGCCTGTTTTCTATTGACTTCCCCCCATTTATTAATTTTGAAAAATATATTACATATTCAAAATTTATAAGTCATTGGACCCAGACAGATAGTATTATAACGAATTCTACATGTCCACTTAAAGGGTTTTCATTGAATTCACGCGTTCAATGGTGAACCAATACTTTAATTAATAATTTCCTGCATCCAAACACTTTGCACTTTTCCCATCATACAATGCTTTATTGGAACATACCAACTTTATCACGGCAAGGATATCATTATATAATTGGAATTAATCTTGGGATTCAACAAAATCCGTTTCTATCACAAAATATAGCAACAATTCAGAGCAAAGCATTGTTTGAGCAGACGGTTCGCGAACGTAATACATTAATTAATAGCTAATTGAAAACCAAAAATTTCAAAGATGTGGACCTCGTTACACAATGTTCAGACGTACTGTATATGAACATGATCTTCGGAATCGAAGGTTAGCATTATAATAATGCTTTTTTCTTGAATAACGATTTAATTAGTCATTAAACACTCTAAATATGTATATACCTTTTTAGTTTTTGTGTTGTTCCCATCAAAATATCAGTCAAAAATTGTTCATGGAATAGAAGGATAGGATATACTTTAGAGATGTTATCGTCTGATCGGAATGAAGCCAGTAGGAGGTAATTAATGTCTAATGATTCTGTCTAATTAATTACACAACACTACAGTACTGGGTTATTAAAATTTCAATCACCCGTATAGCACATTCCACAAATTCGTATTTCAATGGACCGGACCTACATCTAAATATTCCGTATTGTCAGCGAACGAAGAACAGACTTATATTTTCAAAGCATGTTTTGTTAGCCTGGCGTTTATGATGTAAATAGATAACAGTTGACGGTAAATTTTGATCAGATTATAACAGATAGTGAAAGTAAGGATGAAGGTTCACAAGAACATTATGCAACGAATGTTCATGAAGGTGGTGTTGGGATGAAAGGTTTACAAATGCCCAATACTTCACATCTTTTGACACTGGTGGATAGTTCAACTGACAAAATTTCAATAATTTATTAGTATTAATAATTATTAAAATGGTTATATTTGTATTATCATATTATTTTTTTTTAGCTTGTAATTTTTCTAATTCTGCCATAATGTCTTGTCTGGTTGTTGGAGGATTCTAAAGATAAGCCAATAATACAAATAAGAATTGTTTAATATTTATTCAATAAAGTTTTTAATTTTTATTTTAATTACGTGTGTTTTTTCAGCCCGTAATCTGATCTAATAAGAAAAAAATATTTATTATCCTGCAGAAATACTAAGCATAAAACTTTTTAATAATACCTCTTTAACGTGCTTTTCGTAAAAACTAGGACTTCCAACATAATACATTACAGCAATAGGAAAAAAGATATAGACACTAAACTAAAATTGTTAAGAAATAAATGTAAGTTTTAATTATTGTTTATTGAAATATTAAAAACTAGAATATAAATTATTGCCTTAAAAAGTTCTAAATTCGGTCCACCCATTTCGCGGCGAACATTCTGGAGTCATAGTAGAGATTAATTAAGGGTATGTCGATCATTTTTCACATGATTTTAGTGTCACAAAAAAATTTACCTTTTATCCGATTAGTCAATTTTTAAAAACTTTGTGCCAGTGGTTAAGGATAACTAGTATGCTATTGTACGTACAGTATACTGTATCTCGACTAAGTAAATATGGGTTAGAGTAAATTTCAAACTAATTTTTTTTGCACAAATTTATTTTTTACTTAAAAAACAAAAGCAATTACTGTATAGTTTTTTTGGGGGGTTAAAGGTAAGGCCTTGCTTATATCTTAATTATAGAAATACTGTAACTATATGAAGGCTTAATTTATATACAGTCAGACCTTTATAAATGCAACCTTTATAAATGCAATATCTTTCTAAATACATGTTTTTGTCTTGGCTATAAGAAATCATTAATTCTAAATGCATGTTCTATATTTTTTTTTTTTTTTTTTTTTAACTTCAATGATTTTGTCATTAACTTTATTACTTATTTAAGTGAATATTACATATATTTACATATACTTTTAACCTATCTAAGTAGTTATTATGACCTTACCCGGCTACCCTATATGGTGCCCAGATGCAACCGTCTGCATCATCTTATATGTGAGATGGACATCCTTGGGTACCTCTATTAAGAAGCACCCTAAGTTCTGACCTAACTCAGAATTTTAATGTTTTTACTAATTCGTATATACATACTATATATACTACTATACAATGTTTACCAGTTATAATCTGCCCCTCATCACTTATTACATTACTCCTAATTCGTTTCTTGTATAACTTCCAAATTGGTGTCCTAGGAGTGGGACACTCTTTTTGCTTCCAGTTTGGTGTCCCTCGAGATGTTACTTCAGATCCTAATCCGTATCTCAAGCCAGGTGCTGCCGCCATCCGAAGATCCATATCTCAAGCCACCTGCTGCCACCATTAGAAGAGCTGTTTGCATGGTTCCAGGTATTTATGTCGTACACTACCAAATTAGGCTACTACTCCTTTTATAGTACTCTCTATCGGTATAGTGTTACAGAAGTCTAGATCCTTAGGACAGGAGTTAAGTACCTTATTTAATTACTGTCACAAGCCAGTAACCTGGGACCCACACTTCTGCTATGCTTCGTCATGCTTCCACAACTCTCATATAGATTGTGCAACACATTACTCACTGGCCAACTTTATTTTTGTACCACTAGAGTGCTTGCTTTCATGCTTATCGGGGTTTCTTTTAGCCAGTTTTTCCTTGTTTCCTTGTGCCAGAGGTGTTCCATATTTGGTAAAGCTATTCTCTTATCACAGCCCCTTACTATATTTACTGCTTCTCTTACCACTTCTGGATATATTGTATTTAGCCATCCTCCCAATCAAGATTCCAATACTGCCTTAGGGTTGTTGGTGCTACCTTGCCAATCGTGGATTCACATACACAGCCTTCTGCAGTGTTACCTTTTGTAACCCATGTCACACATAGTGCTTGATCTTCTCCATGGCTTGGAACTCCTTCCAAGAATTCTTTATTGGCCAAATATGTACTTCACATAGTCTTACCGCCACAGGGTTCCACATTCAAAAGCCCCGAAGATTACAGAGATAATTAATTAAATTAATTACCACCAGCTGTAATTGAACTGTCGACCTCATCTGTGGAGGGTTAGGCGCCTAGACTACTAGGCTACGGGACCCTAACCCTATGTTTTATATTTTGCAAATGCAAATTTATTTAAAAGATAGATGTTTTATAGAATAGGTGAGCAAACCCTACAAACTTTGCAACTCTGCTAAATATTTATTAATAATTACTAATCATTAGCAGAGTTTATTTTTTATATTGCCCATCTATTTTATAAAATATTCCAGAAGATTTTTTATATTATACTAATTTTTCTAAATATATGTAGTTAATTATAATTCAGTATTTAAGTTGTATTATACAAGCCTGCAAATCAAATATTAAAAGCTGCAATTTGATTGACTCTTTCTAAATACAAACCTTTCTAAATATACATTTTAAGCTGATTTGTATATATTGCATTAAATAGGTTTAACTATACAAATAAATAAATATAATCTATATACTGTACAGTATAAGAATAAAAGCTCAAACTAATTTATCTACAACCTAAATCTAGCTGTATAGTTTTTTTTTTTTTTTTTTTTTTTTTTTTTTTTTAACTTTGGCGCAAAAACATAGTTATTGACCTATTTGGACCATCATTATTGACTTATTAAAAAATTTGTACATTGTTATTGATCTGTTAAAAAATTTTGATTCATTATTGTTGACATATGTATGATGTTTTTAATAACATCCACATCACATAAGTTTTTAATACTTTTGCTCTTTGAATTCCTTTTAACTGAAATAAAATTCTGCATTTCATTATTCTGTATTAACAAAGTAATTAATTTTGAATAGAATCTTGAAAGACCATGATCATGTTTTATATAATTTTGACGTAATTAAAAGTTAATTAAAAGTTAAAAATATTTTTTATTCGAAGTCCGAAGTATCATGTTTGTAAAATTAGACTTGGTAAAGCTAAAACAGATTAGTAATCAAAATATAAAAGCTAATCTTTTCCAAACCTAATATATTTTTTTCGACTTCGCTCTATTGTAATATATTGTATTACAGTTAAATAAATTTAATCAAACACCTATTTTATTGTATGAAAATAATTGTCACGAAATATAATAATATTGTGATTGTTGTAAATTTAATTTATATACAAAATGGCCACTCGCTCTGTTTATATTGATAACAATGGCATTGTTCATTTGCCATTCGAATGGGCAGTTGAACAATATCTTTATTTACTCCCTATTTCATATGGTATTCGTTATAAAGTTCAAAGCAAAAAGCGAGTAAATGATGCAGTAAAACAGGGACTTGTAGTAATCGAGCGTGTGGAAGAATCAGCTAATTATATTAGCTGGGAAACTGTAAAAGGTCAGCGTAAATCTACAAACCATTTTGATGATGTATTACGATTAACCGAAAATGTAAAAACCCGAATTCAGCAAATTAATATGGGAAAAGAAAAAGAACTTCAAGTTTGGCAATGGACTTGGTTTTGTTCTGGTGAAGGTGATTGTCAAAGGCTTTGTGGTGGAATTGGCTCATGTATTGAAATATGCAATTATTATATTAAATACAATATTAAGAATCCTCTTGATATGCATAAATGCAACGTACGAATAACTACTGAAGTTATGCTCTCTGAAGTAGATACAGACCTATCTATGCATCTGATTATTAGTGGCAATCATGTTCCACAAAATATCATTCAAGAAAAAGCCACATCATCTCGAATTAATTTGAGTCGAGAGATACGAGATTTGGCAATTTTAAATTGTCGAACTAATAAAAGTACAACTAAAGAAATTAAAATGAAACTTCTTGCACCTTATAATGGAGCTTCACAAAATGAATTACAAAAGTTATATAACAATCAAAACTCTATATGTGATGATGTCAAACTTCGCCAACTTCTTAAGAGAGATGATTTACGTATAAGAAAAAAAGTAGGTCCATAGACAGTAGTACATAAGTTAGTAACTAGTGTGTTAAAAGAGAAGTGAGCTATTTTATATTATCAGCAGCCAGATATTAATGTAAATGAAGATAGTTTAGGACAATATTATTAGCTTACTATGAGCGATGATTTATGGCTTCAGCAAGCACGTAATTTTGGATTATTTTGCTTTGGGGTTGATGGAAAATACGATTTAAATAGTGATAGTGCACTAGTATTATCTCTTGTTGTTGAAGACTATACAGGTTATAGAACTCCAATTGCATTCAGAGTATCAAATAAAAAAAACAATTATACAATTAGACTTGCTGTAGATACAGTTAAACGAAATATTCTATGCGATAATATTAATTGTTTACATGAGTATCAGTATATAGAGCTAGCCAATGGAAAAGGATTTATGAAAATTCATCATTGTGCATAAGACTGGTTCCTATATGCTATGATTGATAAACACCGGCCAACAAAACAGGGGCTTCAACCTATTCTTCGTGGATTGATTTTATGTTGGTTTCACATTATGCAAACACTTGAAGAGCGTCTTAAAGATTTAAGAATTGCTAATCATTATCAATATCCAATTGCTATTGCATTTAAAGCTGTAGACCGAAGCAGAAGTAAAGAGGAAGCTATAGAACTAGGTTATGCTTATGAATTATTTATTAGATCCTTACCACTTCTAGAAATTACCAAAGAATGTTTATGTAATGACATGTTTTCTAATTGGTTATCTGAAGAATGGATTGACTGTTTTATTGATGGTGGTTGGTTACCCTCTATAAATGATCATCCAGGTGCAAAACCTATAACTACAAATAATCTTACAGAGCGAATAAACAAATCAATCAAAAGTAGATGTGTAGGCACTTAGTCAATTAATAACTTTATTGAAAGATTATATGGAATTATATTAGTATGAGATAATATCATTTAAGAAGCCTCTTCATAATTTATATTTGAAGCAGGACTATACATACTGACGAAATTATTTTGGGGTCTAAAACCCGAAATTAAAATTTGAAGACAAAATTGTTTTAGATCTATTTTACTTAAAAGACAAAATTTTTTAATACTTTTTTTGAATAGACGAAATTATAAGGAGCATAAATATATAAATTTTATTTGCTCTTTCTTATAAAAAATTTTAATTTGCTCTAATGGAGACGAAATAGGCCTTTTTTGAAAATCAATTTCGGTGGTATCTATAAGCAGGACAAGTAACATATTAGAATGCACAAATTATTGAACATCAAACATTGCCATTTAAACAACCAGCAGATATAAAATGACATTTAAATCAAGGGTGGCTATGTGTTTTGCTTTATTTAGTAAAACCTGTATCTTGTGAAAATGATTTATATTTTTATATAAAAAAAGGAAGTAACAAGTTTCGATCTCCATATACAATGAAGAATCTTAAACTCAATAGTAAAGCATATCAATTACTTCAACCAATATTAAATAAACTTGTATCTAAACACCCAGTTATACAACTAGATAACCACTATACTGTTAATATTATTACAGGAAAGTACACATGTCTTGACTTTGTGTAGAGTGGATCTTTCCGTAATATATACAAACATGTATATACAGCATGTCTATTTAATGATATAGAAAATAGCAAAACTACTCTAGATGCAGTAAAATATGATCTTGTATAATATTTTCGCAATAAGGAACGTGCAGTACTAGCTGAACAAAAAAACCTTATAATTTATAGCGAGTCTACTGAAATTGCATTGGAGAAAATCTTCCGGATTTTCTCAATACAAGGCAATGATATATTTTTTCCATATGAATATAAAACTACAAAAAAGGATCCATTTTGTCCTATTGAACTGCCTGAATGAAGAACATCAAGCATTGGAGCACCTAAAGTGCATAGTGCTAAACCAAGAAAGCCTAGCCATTTTTCAAATAAATTAACAAATAATAAAGAGGCAAGTAGGTCTATTTGTATATACAATGCATTCAATTAACAATAATTACTAATTATTGTTTTTATACAATTTTAAGAATGAGATTGATAATGAAAACTTGATGTTAATTGATACTGAAGCAGAATTATTAATAGCAACAAGCCCAGATCAAATTGAAGTTGAAGGAATTGAAACTAAAACTGGGAAAATTGAAACTGAAGATGCTAGAGAAATTAAAGAAACCAGTGAAGCCTCTATAGCTAATGCAACTAGTGCAGAAGTATCAGTATTAAGTTCAATAGCACCATCAATTTAGAAGCGAAGAACTGCAGCAATTAAAAACCATAAACATAATTCTATAAAAAGTGTAAGTCTAAATAAATAGTAAAGTATGTAATTTTGAATTAGCAAATATATATTAACTATAAATTTTGTAAAAACAAAGTAATGGAATTGTTAGCTTATTTTCTAAAGCTACCACCCGAAATGCACTTGAGGTTTTTTTTTCTAAAAAACAAGCAGATTGGAATAGACGAGAGTTTGTAAAAGCTTGTTTTAAAAAAATATTTGCTTAGATAATAATACAGAATCGAATACAAAAAGGTTGTTTACATAATTCGATGGAAGAAAAAATAGAATAAAACAAATGGCAATAGCTAGCTTGTAAAGTAAAAAGCCAATTGAATCGAGATTTATAAATAAATATTAGTGATAGCTTTCTCTTTGTTAATCGAAAAGGAACGCTAATAGTGATAGTTTTAATTTTCGCTATTGTAAGCTTATAGCACGTGATATAATATATGACTTTTTTTTTTTTTTTTTTTATTGGATTAATAATGATATACAAATTTTTTAATAAATCAATAACGATAGTCCAAATGGGTCAATAACCATGTTTTTGCAACTTTGGCATATCTTGCCAGGTATTTATTTTAGTAATTAATTCATGTATACAAATGATGCTAGCTAATTAACATAGATGGTAAGTGATAAACTCTAAGCCTGTCGGCAAATAGCGTATGAGAACTATTTCTAAACAACAGGTGCCCATACTGTAGAACTAATGATTACTGAAACACCTAACCTCACCCAGTTGCTTTACTAAGCCCTAGATATGATAACTGCACCACTTAATCGTGGAACTGCACCGAACCTCAACATTGAAGCTGGTAACTAACTTTTTGCTAGGGTACATGTCCCACCCATATATTCACCCAGGCTTCGGTAACCTACTGCCACAGCTTGATCTATATACTCGGGGTTAGAGCTAACTATTGAACCCCTTATCTAACTAGTACTAATTATGCCACCAAACCAAGTTCATATCTTAAGCTACCCCTAAGGGTGCTGCCGCTACCCAATTCAACAATCACAATCTTCCTAATTAGACCGTTACCTACTTCTGCCCTTGTATAGGTTTACAACAACCCTGGTACCTGCAATTAGACTATCTTCTTACCCGGATTCTTTATCGGTCTCTCCCTTACTTCCAGCTGGCAACTCGGAAAGGTTGGTCTGTCTAGGCTTTAGGTGCCTGAAAGATGCCCTTTCTTTGATACATACTTTCGGAGTGTATGTCCTTTTTCTCTGGTATGACAACCCAGCAGTGTCCTTCGCCATTAGGATCTAGTCACTTGGTTTTCCGATCTCGGGCCCTGGTTCGAATTCAGCCCTCTTGTGATACTATCGTAGATCACTGCTACTCCTAACTCGGGACTTCCCAAATGGGTTTTCAGTTATGCCGGTTTCTCAAATTTATTGTGCCATTGCTCCCATTACTAGATGGTGTGACTGAAGTTACAGATTAAATTCAACCGATAAGTATAGCCGTTAACTGAACACAAGCCCAATTTTCAAAAATCGTTGTCCATAGAATTTGAACTCTAGACCTGCCACTTGAAGAGGGTGACGACTAAACTACTACACTAAGTCGTTTATAGTTTTTTAAAGTTTTATTTTCTTATAATTTATTATAAAATTTATAACATACAGTAAAAATTGATTTTTTAAAACTTTTTTTTGTTGATTTATTTTTTTTTTGTAGCACCAAGTCTATACTGTATACAGTAGTTGGAAATTTTATACCTAATATATACAGTATTACTATATATTATATAAAAAAAATAGAAGTAGTTATTTATAACTACTGTACTATATATATTATAGATTATAATAATTTATATACAATATATACAGAATACTGTATTATTTTTAAAAGAATACAGTATATACAGTATTAATAAATAGTTTAATAAAAAAATAACAATACAGTATTATTTAAATTTTTTTATAATACGAAAAATATAATATTTAATAAGAATAATACTATTTTTTTTATTTTTTATTTTTATTTAATATAATATTGTACATAGTATATAATATATATCATAGTGATATAAATATAGAATAAACTAGTAATATTTCTTATAACTACACTAATGTGCAATATTAAACCTTCGAATTCTCTATTGATAGCTAATAGTAGACTATTTTGCCCGCAAAATACAAGTGGTATATGTCAAAACAAGCTGCTATTAGTTTAGATAAGAGGGGAGGAGAACCTTTAATAATACTATTTTTATTTTTATCAAAAATATAATTTGGCTAATAAAAATTAAAAAATTTAATTATTAAACTACTAAACCCAACTTTTAATTATTAATTTATTAATAAAAGTAAATTTATTATTTATCTAGAGTAATGCTTAATATTACTTACTCATATTATAATATCATATAATTTTACTAAAGTAACCTTGTTGTATAACTAACAAAAAATATTTCTTTTAACCCCAAACCCGGGTGTTATATAAATTATTTTTATTAATATATTAATTTTAAAAATAAATAATAAGCTAATAGTAAATTCTTTAACACAACCAGAAAGAAAAAATTTTATTTTTAATAATATGTGTATATACAAATGTGTATACATATATATATATATATACATATATATATAATATAATTCAAAACCAAAATGTTTTTTTTAAAAAATTTAAATAAACTTAATTTATCATGAATTTGCAATTTAAATGTGGTTAAATTATAAAAAATGCCACATCGACAATCTATAAGTAGTGGCTTGGCTTAGCAAAAATTAGTTTTTGATTAAAGTAATGGATTTTGGCATGGCTTGAGATTAGTCGGCTTACAAATAGTTCTGCTTGGTCAGTAAAAGCTGAATGATTAGCACAACTTGGTCAACATGAGCCATGAGCCAAGCTAAGCCAACAGTTTACATCGGTAGTTACAGGGAAAAAAGTTTAAATTATGCTAACATTAAAGTAGAAGATATAGGGTCCAGGATATGCCACAAAAGCATGAAAGAATAAAAAATTTAGCCAAATATGTCATAGTATCGTACAATGACATTTTGGAGCATTCTCAGAGGATTTTGGGTCTGTAATTGATTGAAGTAATAATAAGTTTAAAAAATAATTATTTTTTTTTTGACACAATTATCATATGGAATGGTTAAACAAACCGTCATTATCCGATGATATAGAATTTTTGATTGCTAGGTGCATAATAATTGATTGTCCCCGTTGAAGTTTGTTGGCTAAGAAGTAAATAAATTAAGATAAAAAATGAGTACCGACAGACATAGATATAGCTATTAACATCGATACATATATATATGCGTGTATCATATTAATTAATGAAATCTTAAATGAAATATTTTCAAAGCTTACCTTCAAGAGTAGTTCCATCATCCAAAACTCGACCGAGATAGACAATCTTCAGACATGAAACGGATTGAACGGCTTCTTCAGCCCATTCTAAGAAATATTGATAGAAAGAATTAATTGAGCATAAAGAAATAAAAAATTTTTGATTACTTATAAAATTTAAAATTTTCGAGAAACCAATGTTGACCTTATCCTTAACATAATTGACCTTTGTATAAAAATATAACTAACTGATCCGATAATTTTATTACCTTCAGGCCACTCATTAAAGATCTGTTTTTTTACCATGGCAACAGTATAACTAGGGTCAAAGAAGAAAGTGTGACGCTTTCCTGAAACCAAAAGTAAAGTCAAGCTGATCTTATCAGGATTATTGTTACTACTTGGCTCGACAAAATAAGAATCATTTTGAGAGATATTTGAAGGTAAGGAGGACGTTGTTGACTCGCCACCAGAGCTTGAAGTTACGTTTTCAGATTGTGAAGTAATGGTTTGAGCTGTGGACATTCGATTATGAATTGTTGGCAGTGAGGTGTCTGCGTTATTGCTGACTTGAGTTACAGGTGACTGAGCTTCGGGGTGAGTCATTTACCTTGCAAGCTTGCGAAAACCAAAAAAATATGACGAGTGTTCAAAATTTGTTAGTTAATAGGTAGGAGAAATTCATCCAAGAGGTAGCCAAAATTGTATTATTATTTATTAAAAGACAAATTTTTTCCTAGGCCGCTTGGCAAGTGTGATCATAATCTATAAATAATTACAGAATTAAAGTTGCACGGATGCAGTAACATTATTTATAGGTTTATACCTTTTTTTTAAGATAAATGCAAAAATGGAAATATTTTTTTTTAAAAAAAGCATACGTACAGTAATTGGATGATGTGAATATATACGGTACTATGACATATATATGAAACCAATGTTTTTTTTTTTTTAATAAGTGGTTAGAAAAAAAAAATTTACGACTTGGTTTGGTTATAAAGAATTTTATCGTTATACGGGCCAAGAAAGTATCAATTATTACAGTAATTAATAAATGTTTTATGTGTTCTATTGAACGTACGTACAGTATCACTTAACAGTTAAAGTCTATATCCCACGTGATATACAGCAGTCCGACCTCCTCCTCAGGAACCAGTTATGAATTTAAAGATGTGTGCAGTTAGTATGCAGTTAGAGAGTAATTTTATTTGAAGGTGTGCGCTCTTAGTGAGTGCGTCCATATTTTTTTCATGTTATCTGTTATTATATATTGTTTACTTAGCATGATATAGATATTTTTTTTTCGAATTATGTACTGAAATAACAGATATCTAATAATACAGTTTAATAATTATTTAAATTTTTAAGACTCGATTGTGAGTAAAATGTATCTGAATTACGGCTATTTATGTCTTTTATTGCCTTTAATTCTATAATTCAATCGTTTCAATAGGCTGTGGTCCCATTACTAATATTTGAAGAATCGTTCTCATCTAATTTTAAATCATCAAAATTCGAATTTCTCATATTAATGCAACATCATTAATTTTTAAATAAGCCGATGTAAGAAATCATTCAATTAGTGTACTTAATTAATATATATATACGTACAATAATATCAGTATACATTTTGAAATAGATTTACTTTTCAAAATTTAATTAATACGTATAACGATAGGAATCTATAGCATTTAGAAAATTATTAATATATTTTTTAATGTTGCTCAAAAGAAAGTGTATATTATATGTAACACGAATATTATTACAGTCGCTTCTCAGAAAAAACTTTACACCGGATATATAATTTTCCTTATATTTTGTCTAGACTTAAGGTGAATTCTTAAAGGCGAGATTTTAAATGTAACGGTAACGGTCTTGACAAAAATAGAAACCACATACGTTAGAAATTGTTATGGAGAAACTTACCGTTACTCTGTAACGAATAAAGATCTCCGGAATAACTAGATCCAGTATAAAGAAATAACAATTCCGAGAATAAAATACATTATTTTACTGCAGTAGCAGGCACCCTTATTTCGCATTTTGCTCAAGGGCAGTTTCGAATCCTGCGCTCCATAATTCCTTAAATTCATCTCTTATTTTCCGATACTCCCCTAAATTATATAGAATTTATGGTCAAATTCTGTGATACTCTATTATTGTTTTATAAAAAATATTTTTTGGCTAATATATTTAAAAAAAATTTAATGCTTTTTTGTAAATCAAAAAAACATTGACCTTTAACCTGCGTAAAGCAATTCTAGATTCTGTAAAATAAGACTAAAATTTTGCTATATAATACAGTATTTATAGTACTTGTAGTTTTTTTTTTTTTTAAACAAATTAAAAAATTAGATATACAGTATAGCATGTACAGTATCTACTTAGTGTTGTCAATGAACATGTATATGATATAAAAAATATGGACATGTTCATGTCCAAATTATAGACATGGATATTGGACATTGTTTATGAACTGTCTATGGCCAATGATTTGCTTGAACATATGTTTATATACAACACTGTATCTACTGCAGCAATACAAAAACTGCCTAATTGTTGCAATAAATCAGTACTGCAGTACTATATAAAAAGCATGTAAACCTTTGTTATTGTTGCATGACTGTGCAAATATAGATATGTGGTGTTACTGACAACATTTTTGATAATTTATTATAAATGAATCAAAAACAGAATTTCGAGCACTAAACAGTATAGACATGTAAGTTCTTCAAACAATTACAAGATATTATACTTTAATTAATCTAAATTTTTTTTTTAATTTAAGTAGTTTCACTAGTATTTTATTAAGATTAGTATATTATCAAATCAATATATCTGTTTATTTCTAATTTGCAACCCTAATATTATTTAGCTATTTTTAAGATACCTAAATACAACCTATTGCACTAATCTGAATTTTAAAATTAAAAGCTTATATTAAACTAGTTTAATTGCTATACTATAAGGAGGCATTCATAATTTACGTTAAACTAGTATTGTTATAGAGATCTTAAATATAATACTATATAGTATTATCTTCAAGATCTTTATTTCTATACAATATGGTACTGGTTTAATATAAATTATGAATGCCTCTAATATAGTAGCTTTTTTTTTTTTTATATTCTTTTATTTAATAAGAAATTTACTAAGAGTAAAATAAAAAAAAGAGTTTGAAAAAAAAACCAAGAAAACAAAAGATATAAAAAAAAAAAATAATAAAAATCAAAGAAAAAAATAAATAAGAAAAACAAAAAAAAAAAAAAAACTATATAATAAATAAGTAGAGGTTGGATCCTTTGAATATCCATCATAATTATTTAGTAAATATTCGCGGGTATTGATGTTTACGAATAGTATTGAATGAATATCTGAATTATGAATAGATACTCATCTATTATTGTAATTATGAATATTTACAACAAATATTTACACAAATATTCATGAATCAACTATCAATTACAAACCCTCAACTATTCATAAATTTTGTGTAACTAAATATTAAATATTCAACGAATAACCATTTTTAACTGTGAATATTCATGGATCCAACCTCTATAAATAAGAAGACTAGTTAAACAAAAAAAACTAAACTAAAAAAAAACTAAAAAACTAAAAAAACTTAATTAACAAAGTAAAAATCTAAAAAAAATACACTATTAAAATCTATATTAGTCTTAAAAAAATGATATAACAAATATAATATTTGTATATTTCTATTGTAAAGCTATTCTTTAAAAGAAGTAACAAAAATTAAATAATTTTTTAGAAGAGAATAAAGACCTGATTAAATATATACTGTATTAAAAAAAGAAAAGAGAGAATATACCTCTAATAAAAAAAAAAATTAAGTAATAAATAATACTGCCCTAATATACAGTCAACTCTTTCTAAATGTATGTTCTCTAAGTGTATATTCTCTCTATATGTATGAAAATAGTCTAGTCCCAAGTTGGGACTTATAAAATAAGCACATATTTTATATTCTCTTAATGCAGGTTATTTTTCAAATTATATATATAAAAATATTCTCTCTAAATGCATTTTTAATATATTAATCAATTAAACTTGAGAATATTTATTTAGATAATAAAACAATTAAAATTTATATATTTAATTTTTTTTAATTTTTTAATTTTTTAATTTTTTTTTTGACGATCATGCCACATGCCCTGCTTTTATTGATCATATATAACAATCCAAAGGATTTTTATATTACATT